ATTAGCGTTTTGACTTTTATGCCACAGAACATAAAAAAAGAATAAGGGCGGTTCCGGTTTCAACCCCTGCGTGCAAATGAAGTTTGCTGTGACAATTGTGATTGTGTGAGTTTCGTTGCATTTGTTTCATGTATCTTGTTATTAGGTTTATTTGTCATTTCATGTTCTGCTCATCATTTGTCCTCATAAGGCTGATATGATACCCATACGCACAAAGATGCTAATACCCAAGACAATCGCTTTTCTGCCTCCAGTAATTTTTAGACAAAAGACCCTCGGCCTACCCCGCTGAGCAACGAGTGAGCTCAGCATATTCATGCTGTTGCTTTCTGGTCCTACCAGTAGCTGCAATAGCATATAGATTACAGATTACAGAAGAAAGAGGTTGGCTAGCCGGCGTTACCGTCACGGCGACTGAAGTGGATCTATTGTGACACCCCTTTATACTTTCTAAAGCACTGTGTCCAGCCTTGATCCTTTGATCAGACTTCATAGCCTCCACAGAGGGCCTAGGATGTAATCTTTGAACCCTATGGTTCCTACTATCTGAAGCTGTAGCCTGGCCAGACCTTCACAGTGACACAAAAGATTTACTAGGTTTTCCTTATGCTCTCTGCAGAAACTGCATGTGGCCCTTTCTGCCAGACTCAGGAGTCTCATATGTCGATTTAGACGACAGGGTCCTGTCAGGGGACCCACTATAGCCTTCCTATTGAATCTGAGTGGGCTCTCTGTGAATGCAGGCTTTCGTTCTTTGATGAACTCTTTGCCTTTGTCCCAATTGGCTGTTCCACCATTCTAGGGACTTTTTCTTGGTCCAATTTCTTATGGACCGTTTGGAGCGTGTTTTCGTCACATCACAGAAAGGCTGTGGACATATAAGACAATGGACCGCACCTTGTAGGGCTAGCTCATCCGCCTTTTCATTTCCTTTGTCCCCTTTGACCCAGAGCATTGTTACCTTGTTTCGGTTTCCCAGCTCTTTAATGCCTTTATGGCTGCCCGGCTGTCTGAGCAGATGGCGATCAACTGATTTGCAGTCTGATTCCTTATTAGCTCTTTTGTGCAGACTTGTTACTTCAGCTTGAAATATTGTTGCAATATTGTCTAGACTTACAGAGATCCCAGTATATGCCATTTTGTGCAGACTTGTTACTTCAGCTTGAAATATTGTTGCAATATTGTCTAGACTTACAGAGATTCCAGTATTTGGCATTGCCCCGTAAATCCCAGCTCCAGCTCCGTTTTGCCGTCTTTGTACCAGTAGCTTTTGGCATGTATAGGAGGTCCTTTCTACCACACCTGTCTGGTACTATTGTTTGATAGTTTTTATTGAAATTGTACACTGGGACATTTGGCCATTACCAATATAGGATCGGCCTACAACTCCGTGTGCAGTTTTTGATGCGTACTGCCGACGATCAGTGATTGGCCTGCAGTTATTTTGTGAGCCACAGAATGAGCATTACCCTGAATAAGTATGTGTACTGGCAGTAGGTCAAGAAGGACCTCCAACGCTGCAATGAGATCGGCATGCCCATGTGTGCCCAGCTAGCCTCTGCACGCCACTTATTAGCTTCACCGCTGCAGACTGTAGCCTTTGTCCACCATGTCACTGATCCATAGATTATCATGGGTCTCTACAGCCCACATGATCATTTTTGAGTTTAACCCGCAATTTCTCCCGCGCATCTGTCTACACCTTCCTAGGACTATTGTTGCTTTTTGTGATTTTCTGTTGATGTCAAAGTTCCACGTTAATCTTTGATCAAGGATGACTCCAAGATGTGTTGCCTCTATGGCATAGGGGATCTCCACACCATGCGGGGTTGGTGGCGTTAGGCCTTCTCATACCCGCCTTCGTAAGAAAGGGGCGACGGTTGTCTTATGCGGATTTAAAGATAGGCTTTCTGTCCTGCCCACCTGTCGACAATATTCATGGCCCTTTGGGAAAATTCGGTAAATGGTCCTTGCAAACCGGCCTTTAACTATAGCTACGATGTCGTCGGCATACCCCAAACAGTAAAAGCCTTCGACGGTAAGTTCTTGCATCGTGTAAGTATCTACCATTACTGCTCATACAAGTTGAGATAGCACTTCTCCTGTAATATAGCATAAGTGACTATTGTGGGATATGGAGAAGCTACAGGGGAGACTCCGTCGTAGGATGCTGTCTTAAAACAGCAGTGACAGGTAAACAATGTAGCACTCTTGCTAGTAGTTGTTATATTTTGTATGGCATCAGTCTCAGAATAAGCCTTGTTGTTGGCACCAATATATAAAGTAAAACATTTATAGAAATAACATCGAGGCGTTTTTTATATTGTTTGAGAGTGCCAGGCAATGAAGATTCCTGATGAGTTCTGGAGAGAAGTGTTTAATACCAGAGATTTGGTACAAATCTGTCGATATTTTCATGTAAAAAACATCTTATATAGTTGGTAGGAGTGATTGTATAATGTGGCTATGAATTAAGAATCAAAATATTGATAACAATAAGTAGATGTAAGTAAGATTTCATATACCAGCATGCTGTTAGGCGGGATATTGTAGGTATGAAAATATTACAACAGTAAGTGCATTTCATCCAATATTGGATCATTCTGAATATTGCTGTTCTCCTTTATTGGACACAAATAACATTATTCTTTCATCTGTGAAAGTTTTCACAAATAGCATACTAAATATTAGGTGTGAATACTCGATGTTAGAGGGTTGACAATCAATAGATGTTATATATTTTAAGTTTATTAAAGCAAAAAAAATGCTGAATATTTTTGCAACATTAAACAAGAGATATTCCAGAGTATACAGTATTATTACACACAATGATATCTAGAATGAGAAATCTGGTTGATTTCTCATTTTAGATTATTTCTTAAGTGTCACATCAATTGACCTGGAAAGCGCGCCATTCCCTTATTTTTCCCTCCAGCAACTCATTGGCGCCACCATCTGACATACAAATCTGGCAAACGTGGAGCTCCCATATTCTTAGGTCCCGGCCTCACTGAATCGGATAAAAGTTATGTTACAAAAATGTTTCTAAACGGTATAGACATCTACCTATGACGGTATCCGTGGACAATTACAGTCTTCATCTATTTTGTTAAAACACCGAGGTTTTTGAAATAATTGGAAAAATCTTTGGAATTTCAACCTCATTGCAATATCTGGCAATGCAGGACGGGATATTCTGAGATGTGGCATACATGTCAAGGATGTATTTGGATCCACGACATTATTGGGCACGCTACGAACCTTAGTGCTACTCAAATGTTCACGTTTGACAAGAATTGGTGCCGTGTGTACCGTAACGTCCCCCCCCCCTTAAAAGCCAGTTGGCCGTTGAAATTTGCATATTTTCCATGGTTTGGTGTACAATATTGGGGATTTTAGAATTTGATCTCCCTGAAAAAATTTGCTACAGCCGCTCTTCGAAAAATGTTGGGCTCTGATATACTTTAACAAAAATTAGCTGATGCCGATAATCGGTTCTTTCCCATGCAGTAGTGTAGATGTGACAATTTTGGTTGCCATTTTAAAAAACCTCATCACTGACATTTTCCAGGTTGTTAGTTGTACACAAAGCATCCACCTATGAAACTATATTTCTTACAGTTCATTATGCTGGAATAGCCTCGTTGCACAAATCTGAATTTTATGCGTTTGGTTTAGTAATGCTAATCAAACGACTATTGTCGCAATCAAATATAAAAGAAAACAACTTAGTACAGTCGAGTCAACTTAGACGGCCTGCTCGTCACTGGACATTGACGTACAGAGGTTGAAAAACCTAACTTACGTATCGTTTAATAATATTATCAATTGCATTTGAGCCCAAAGGATACACTTCTACGCTCCCGCCATGTATCTCAACATTTCAATGCTCATTGTCCACGATTCTTTATCTACATGTTTTTTTTGTGGAGCTTGGGTCGTGAATAAACAATAACCTCGTATTGTCACGGGCGCCGCTTGGAGTGAAAGTAATCAAGCCTCGTGAAAGAGTTATTTGAGTGGCTAATAATATATGCAGGGTGGCCGATATGTAACTGACTGGCTTGTATCTTGAATATTTGTGAAATCAAATAAAATACGACCATTTTTTCATCTTAATCTCTCAATGAAACTTAGAAATTATGTATGAAGCCGCGCAAACCTGAGTCCTCTTGATTACATTTTTCATCACTTTTTGGTAGGTTTCGGAAGGAATATTTTCAATCGCTTCAGTAATTTTGTTCTTCAGCTGCTCTACAGTATTCGGTCTGTTGGCATAAGCCCTATTTTTCAAAAATCCCCATAAAAAAGTCAGGAGCCGTTAAACCCGGTGACTTTGGTGGCCAGTTGACATCACCAAATCGAGAAATTTAACGGAAACATTATTCGTAAAAGATTCATTGTTTCCCTTGCTGTCTGATAAGTTGCTCCGTCCTGCTAGAACCACACGTTTTGCAGATTAAATTGTTGGATTTGAAGAGCCAGAAAGTTTTGCACCATAACACGGTAGCGCTCGCCAGTGACAGTAAGAAAACCTGCAGCATCTTCAAAGAAGTAAGGTCCAATGACACCTCCATACCAAACTGTGGCTCGACGAGGATGTGGTGGTCGTTGATGGTTGACACGAGGGTTCTCTAATGCCCAGATACGATAATTCTGCTCATTAGCAAATCCGTTCATATTGAAGTGGGCTTCATCTCTAATTTTTTTTTATATTCCAACTACCACGAAGGCCTCAGGCCTAAACACCCATTGGGTACCGTGGGGCTATAGGGGATACAGGCGAAAGGGGGAACGCCACACGGACTCTGGCGAGGGAACACGTGTACATGCTACATGCACACATTCTGGCTCCGCCTACGAGATCCGCCGGGTGGTACCTCCACGTTCGACAGTCAGAGATCATCTACCACCTACGCACAATCACAACATTCATAGCCAAGCGAAAAATTTCTCCTGGAACGGCACTCGAACCCGCACAGCGCACGGCGACTGATCAGGAGACCGAAGAGTCTACTACTGCGGCCACCGCTGCTGCCTTATCAGTTGTCACCAAAAACCGTGATTTTTCGAACACGACCCGACCTTGGAAAGTCTTTAACTTCACCTGTTTGTTCAAATTTCTGCACCAACTGACGAATGGTGTTGACAATGGTCACATTATTTCGACCGAAATCTTGTTGTAGCTTCCGAATCGTTGTAACAATCGACTCATTATTTAAGTACAACGTTTTAACAATACGGACGCGTTGTGGAATCGTGTAGCGCTCCATGTTGAATTTAACGCTTTAAACAACTTCTACGATGCCGTCTACTGGAATGCATGTATCAAAAATGACACGCAATCTAAACCAGTCAGTTATATATTGGGCACCATGTATTAATTTGGGTTAAATTTTCGACCAAAAGACGACCATGACATTTATAACCCAAGATAGTTAGACCGATAACAGAGCAGTTCTAACACACAAGAGCGCCGCTTCTCGAAAATTACTTGAAATTTTAAGCGAGCTTATATGAAATTGATGCGAGACGCTACCATGCGCAATCGTATCTAATAGCTGACAAAATGGCCCATTGCAGTGCGTACGTGTAAGGAGTGCCGGTGATGACTCTTGACATTGTAAGGAAAAAAATGTCGATGAAAATGACAAAACCATTGTCTCTTTTCTGAGGAAGCAGCTACAGAAGATACAAGAAAAGACGAGTATCTGGAAAAAGAAAGTTCTAATGCTGAGGAGATTGGTTTTGATAGATTGTTAGATCAAACCCTGACAAGTGATTGTTTGCAAACGTACAATAGCTACCAAAACACAATTTGTGAAAATTTACATATCATCGTCCGGTCTATAGAGGATGTTTAAAATTCGACCCTCTCCATTGGGATCCAGGAAACTGTAAGAGATACGAAGTTGCTTAAATGGGGGCAGACTTGCGTATTTAAGTAATGAACAAAATTCCGCTTAGAAACTTGCTAAATTTTGAAGTACTTCCGAAGAGAGACGGAAAAATAACGAATTTTCAAAATCTCAAAACAAATTGCACTTTAACGTTGCCACTTCTTCTCCTCCAGCATCTATTTAATTTTTCTTATGAACGCCATATTGGATTTTTGTGCAGATAAATATGTTTCTTTTCTGATTCCAAAAATGTATATGTCATACATTGACATTGCCAAACCTCAATTATTCAAGATAAACAGAATCTTGCAGGTAGGCCTTGAAATTAGCATAGTTATTTGTTTCGTTTACTAGACCAGACCTCAAAATGAACATAGCAGCAGCAGGCTGAGAAGAAGAGAAATAAATCGAGGAGTGAACAATGTACAGCGGAGAGTCAGGCTTCGCCTAAAAATAACGGAAAACATTTTGAACGTTTGCTATGATTTACTTCTGCTTATTTATTATTGTTATTACCAACCAATAAATTTTCATTTTTGTACAGGTTTTATAATAGGTTTTCATTTACTTATAATTTGCATCCAACAGCTAATTCATGGCCAACTGACGAAATACATCACTTAATTTAAGACTGAAAAGTTCATTTAAATTAACAAAATTCAAGTATAGCGTCCATATGAAAAAATACAGTTGATGATGGAAGTCTAAAGAAGAAATGTCGACTTGAAAATTTGACTACGCCATCTTGTAGAGGAAGGAGAATAAGTAACAATGACAACATGTAATTTATTTTGATATCCCATCTCAAATAAAGTCAGGAAAAGATAAATGTGATTTTGGGATAAATCTGGAATACGAAACAAATGAGTCTCTGGTAATTTCAAGGCCCACCTAAGCAAATTTGCTTTTTTGAAATGTCTAAGATTTTGCAATCGATGTATGACGTATTATATGTTTTTGGAATCAGAGTCAGAAATAAAGTTGATGCTGGTCTACAAAAGACGAAATGTGGGAGTTCGGCCCTGACCGAAATTGCCTTGTTAGCTATACAGCGAACCTCTACAAATTTTAACAATTTAGTAGTGAAAATCAAACGAAATTTTTCTGCAACAGCACCAGTGCAACAGTTTAAGCCTATACGGACACACTGTGAGTACATACTCAACCTTTATCTGATTAATTATATCAGGAATCGAAATAAATAATAAACCGTACAGCAGACTCGTGCAGCACAGCATAGTAAAAACTCTCCAAAACAAATAGTCTCGAGGAGTCAGGTCCGTATCGAGAAATGATACGACGGCCACCTGGAGCGATTATAGAAATTCAATAATGGCATCCGTTGAACACCAAAATGCATCCCAAAATGTCACAACAGCTCAATCATACTCCAACGTACTGACTCAAAATACATTCAGATATCCAAATAAAGATCAAGCAATAATATTTATTTCTAGTAATGGAACTAGACTGCAGGACTACTTACTCAAACTTGGTCCAATAATCAGCCCTAAAAATATACTTTTTTGTTCTAGAATTTCGAATAACAGAATTTGTATATACTTAGCAAGTAAACATATAGTCGATAAATTTCTAGAAAATCCTGGACAAATAGAACTCAATGGTGAGATCATAAAAGCACGCAGACTAATAACACCATCCGATCGACTAGTAATTTCGAATGTGAGTCCTACAGTCCCACACACAGTTATAAATGAAAAATTATTACAAATTGGCCTGAAACTAGTCTCACCACTTACTTTTTTGAGAATTGGAGCTCCATTGCCTGAGTATAGCCATATACTCAGTTTTAGAAGACAAGTATATATTGAACCTAACCAAAATTCGGCAAATCTCCCAGAGTCACTAGAAATAACGCATGATAACATAACCTACCGCATTTTTCTATCATTAGACAGCCAAAAGTGTTTCAAATGCAATAGACAAGGACATATAGCTTCCCAGTGCCCATTTTCTACCCAACTGCAAACAAACATAATAGAAACACCACCACAGTCTACCAATCAACTGGAAACGGCAAACACTCAACAAGTAGACGAGCAACAAATAACCACAGCATCAAGTGAACCAGCAACATCTCAATATACAACCAACACACAAGAAGCAGAGGTTCAAAGCCATATCAAACCCATTCAAACAGAACAACAAAACACAGTTGCATTACATGATTTAACCTGTAATAACCAAACGGATACACAAACCAGCACATCCTCCAAACGAAATTTCTCAGAAGCAATTTTGCCGACCACACCAATACATGATCCCTCATCAGACCTCACAAATTCCCCTATATTTCCAAAACCCAAAAACACAAGAATAAAGAAACAAAAGACAAATAGTCAGCCGTCATATATCTCTCAAGAGGCATATGAAGACGTTAAAACATTCATAGATGCCCAAACCCCTGCTTTTACCTTGAATAGTGACCAATTCAAAAGCCTCCTAGAAAACACTCACGGAACCCATGATATAATGAGCATAATCCAAGACTACACAGATGACACTAAAGGGCTCATTGAAATGATACTACTGGTGTACCCTCACATAGCAGATAGAGCAGTGAAAAACAGATGTACTAGACTACGGAAAAAACTAGAACGATATACTGACAATAACATTAACGAATGTCTCAGCGACACCTCTTCAATGGACTCCACAACATATTAAATTATATACTATGTTCATTGGTCTTAGGTCGCTTTTACAATGGAATCTAAATGGATACCACAGCCATTTAAACATGTTACATAAACTCATCTCAGATCAAAACCCTGACATAATTTGTTTACAAGAAACTCGATTCCACGAAACAAAAACACACACGCCAAAACATTACAGGGGATTCTTTAAGAACCGCAATGATAGCTCTAATTATATAGCTAGTGGAGGTGTTGCCATTTATATCAAAAGTAGCATAGTAGCCAAGCCCATAAACCTTAACACTCAGCTAGAGGCAGTCGCAGTCACAATAGAAGGCTCTCAGAATATCAGCATTTGCAATATATACATACCACCCAATTATCACTTAGATACAAATGAACTGGAGGCACTTCTCCGACAAGTACCATCACCTCGAATTATCCAAGGTGACTTTAACGCCCATCATCACACTTGGGGATCAAGAAGAAACAATACTCGAGGAAAAATAATAAAAGATATTTTGGATACAACAGATCTTAATTTGCTAAACGATGGTACTGAAACAAGACTTGATCTAGGAATTGGAACAACATCAGCAATAGATTTGAGCTTAAGCTCGACAAATCTTGTAACCCGTCTGAACTGGAGCGTATTAGATGACCTGTATGGAAGCGACCATTTTCCTATAGTCATATCTAACCCAGGAGAATTGAACAGTGATACACTACCTGAAAAGTGGAACCTGAAAAAAGCAGACTGGATACACTTCTCGAAATATATAGAACACAATTTACACAAAACTCAAATAAAAGAGAACATTGATGAAACAATACACGAGTTCAATAATATTATTATAAATGCAGCACACACCAGCATTGGTAAAACTAAACCAGTTATGAATAAAATTCCTGTTCCATGGTGGAACGAAGAATGTAATACAGCAATCAAGGCAACTAAGCAAGCAGTAAACAAGTTTAAAAGAAACAGAACTATCGAAAATTTGATAGAACTTAAAGAAAAACGAGCACAAGCTAAGCTAACAACAAAAAAGAATCAAAAAGACTCCTGGAGAAATTTTGTTGGCAGTATAAATAGCTCAACACCTCTAGCGACAGTTTGGAAAAAAATAAAAAGTGTAGCTGGAGCCCCATCATACTCTCCAATCAGATGTTTAAAAGAAAACAATATAACACATACAGATAGCAGAAGAATAGTTGAAGCACTCAGTAAAACTTACCATAAAAATTCTAGCAACCAGAATTACAATCAAGAATTTCTAATACATAAGACCAACGTAGAAGCAACACAAATATTAATCCAGAACAACCAAGACCCAATGAACAAATTAATTTCTGAGCACGAAATGGAGGAAGCACTTAACGACTTAAAAGAAACTTCTGCAGGACCTGATGATATACCCTCCATATTTCTGAATAAACTCCCAGCAACAGCAAAACAACACCTACTAAATATATATAA